GATGTTTAATAAATACTCATTGGCTGACTGACAGTGGTTCTTAAGTATGATCCCCTTTCAGGAGGACTGTGAGGTGAAGACTATTTAAATAATAATATCGCAATGTTTTAATTTCTAATGTGGTAAATATTGATAAATGTAACCCACATTAACAAAAACTTTGGGAGAGGGCAGTATTCAATAATTTTTAAGAGTCCTGAAACCAAAAAGTTTGAGAATTGCTGGTGTATAGGCCACCTGGACAGAAGGAAGAAATAAGATTAAAAGATAAATCTGGCACAGAGACATGATCTATTAATGATAAAATATTCCATTTGCTTAGACACTGAATCTCTGTCTGTCACACACAGTGTGACTCTAAGCATCTTCATATAACTCCTACCCCCTGTGGTTGGACCCCACCCAGGTAAAGAGCCTCTTATACACCATCCAGAAAGACTCAGATGAGGTATCTGGGTCACATCAATGTTGTGTGGATCCAGTTCAGTTTGATAAGCTTCTTAAGTGTCTATTATGAACAGGACACTGTGTTAGATCCTGGGATCCAGTCCATGATCTTTGACCTGTGTATATGGGTGGGTTTTTCTACTCCAGATCTAAAATTGCATCTCCCTTGGCCCTTGGGGCTCACAGTAATGTCATACTTGGTCCAGAAGCACCTTTTTCTCTGATTATTGTGGAAATCAGGAGGAACCAATGAACCCTGGTATCCAGAATCATGTAGAAGGTGAAGCTGGGAGTTATTTCTGATATATACTGTGTCCCCTGAGAGACAGGACAGAGATTAATTTCAAGTGAGATAATCTATAAAAAGCCCTTTGTAACCATAAAGCACTAGATAGGGTGTCCTTGGAGCAGTGTTCTGCACTAAGACTTGTGGTACATCTTGCATTAATGTTAGCTTTTATAAATAGTATCAATTAGTTTTAGTATTATATTGTTAGAGGACTAGGGAAAGAGATTTGGAAATACTGTCCTAACCTTGGCTTGGGTTCCCAGAATTTTTCACATTCCTTTTTTTGCTCCAAACCTGAGCATCATTTGAAATGTGTAGTGGGAATTCTCTGTCCTGGCATCACCAGTGTGAGGGTGTTGTGCATGGTAGTACAGAGAACACCACCACAAAGCAAGAGAACATGAGGAAAGTATAATATAGGGGAAAGAGCATTGGACTTGGAAGTAGAAAGCCTTCAGGTTCAAATAGTAGCTCTGACACTACCCATGTGAACTTGGGCGGGTCATTTCCCTACTTCCTGGATCTCAGTCTTCTCTTCTTTAAAAAGAGGGGGTTGACTACTACGTCTACTTGCCGAAAAGATCAAAGAAAAGGGAAAAGATGAGCAAAATTATTTATAGTGGCACTTTATCTGGTGGTAAAGAACCAAGAATTAAGAGGGGTCCCCAATAATTGTTGTTGTTAAGTCACTTCAGTTGTGTCTGACTCTTCGTGACCCTATTTGGGGTTTCCATAGCAAAGGTATTGGAATGGTTTTTCATTTCCTTCTCCAGCTCATGAGGAACTGAGGCAAACAAGGTTAAGTGATTTGCCCAGTGTCACACAGCTAGTTAAGTGTCTGAGGCCAGATTTGAACTCAAGTTTTCCTGATTCCAGGCCCACCACCTAGCTGCCTAGGGGGCAAATTTGATGAGATGAAATGTATTTTGTTGCTTTGATGGGTCTTTGATCTCATTAATGTGGGCACCCCTCCTGATAATGCGTATTGTAACCCATGCTTATGCTCTAACTTCCTGGGTGACTCTGGTCCATGCCCATAGAGATTCCACCCAATGTGGTGGGGGCCTTTCTCTAGGTCTCTTGATATTTTGTGGATACTAATGGAGCATCTGAGTTGTCCATCTCCATCCCTCCTCAGTAGATGACCAGCCCACCTGGCTGCTCTCTTGTACTTCACCATCTCTCCTGAAACCCATCTTCCTGAAAGATCGCATGGATTCTGAAACTCACACCTTTTCATTACACCCTCCACCCACCGCCCTACCCCACCCCCACCCGCCCCTAAGGACTCTCTCCTCCTTCTGATTGGAGAGGGTAGAGGGTGGACATTGGAGATCATCTCCTAGATTCTCCATTTAAGGAGGGGGCCCAAGGGAGCCATCCTGTCTTTTCCGAGCTGATGGCCTTTCTCTGGATTTCCTCATGCCCCTTCACTTTTCAGCTTCTTCTTTGTGTATGTTGTCTTGAGGACCAGCACTGTCCTTTGCCTTTCTCTGTATACCCAGTGTTTTGCACAGTGCCTGGCACACACTAGGTGCTTGATAAATATTCGTTGACTAACTGACAGGCTACCTCTTTTTTGCAGTCATACATCTCTCTGATGACTGCTCTTACACTACAGCCCTTGCATAATTTGCACAAGGTCTCATGAGTATATATGTTGCAGCCCACTCACATTCACCATGCATATCTCCATTGTCCTTTGGGAGGTGTTCAACTTTATTTCTTCAGACACTCTAATATTCCATGACTTAGCCATACTGTATCACAAAAAGAATATTATTTTTTTAAAAGACTGACCTTTCTTATAGAAAGAACCTTGGATTCATTTTTAAAAGGCGAAATTTAAGAGGGATTTAAAGTCCTATGCTTATTCTGAAAAACAAATCAACTTCAGAAGACCAGGTTGAAGGAGACATGGCTAGACCACAGTTTGTATGAAAAGATCTGGGAGTTATGGTGGACTAAAAGCTCAGTATGAGTGCAATACAGTAGGCAAAAAAAAGAAAAAATCCAACAGAAACTTAGACAGTTTTAAGAGAGGCATGGTATCCAGAAAAAGGGAGGTGATAGTATACTGTGGCCTGGTAAGACTACATTCAGCTCTGGGTACCACATTCTAAGAAGGATACTGCAAGCTGGAAAAGCATCCAAAGGAAGGTGACTGAGACAATGGAAAGATTAGAGACCATGGCCTCAGAGGACTGGCTGAAGGAGCTGAGAAATTTTAATCTGGAGAAAAGACTTAGAGGAGAATCTGAAGGATCCTTCTGTGGAAGAGGAATTAAGACTTTTTTAGAACACATCTAATTCTGAAAGCAGAACTAAGAGTAATAATGTGGGAGCTACAGAGAAGTAGTTACAGGCTCTACATAAGGGAGAACTCACTAACAATTCATTCAAGCCCTTCAGAGGTGGAATGAGCTGCCTCCAGAGGTCATGGGTTTCTCCCTCACCAGCAGTCTGGTGATAATAGAGTCTAAAGGACCAGTTGTCAAAGATGCTATGGGGAAATTCCTGTTCAGGTCAAGGTTGGAACCACCAGGCAAGAGTCTACAAATCAAATAAACAGATACAATTACTTGGTTAGAGCTGGAAAGGGTTTTAAAGGTTATCTAGTCTGAGTTTTTCATTTTAAATTTAGGGAAGTAAGACCTTGGAAAGGTACAGTGATTTCCCCAAGATTACACTGCTAGACGGTGACAAATGGATGGGACAGTGCAACCCTGACCTGACTTCCTTTTTCTGAGTACTGTCCTCTGCCTACAGCTTACGTTAGTCCAATGGTTCTTAACTTTGGGTCCAGGATAGAGTTCATGGAGGTCTGTGAACTTGGATGGAAAAAATATATATCTGTGTGTCAACAAAATTGGTTTCTTTTGCAATCCTATGTATTTGATTTTATGTATTTCATAACATTTTATAGGAAGAGAGTCTTAGGCTTCACCACACAGTCAAAGGGGTCCATGGTATACATGTGGGTGTATGTGCGCACACGCACACACACACACACACACACACACACAGAGTTAAGAATCTCTGGTTTAGTCATTGATCATAAGATTTAGACCTAGAAGAGCATCATTGAAAGGCTCATGTGAAGTGAGAAAAGTACTAAACATGGAGTCACCAGATGGGAGTTAGAATCCCGGCCCTACCATTTACTATCTGTATAGCCTTTGGCAAATTGCTTAAGACCTGGGCCTTAGTTGCTTCATTTGTAAAATAAGGAGGTTGGACTAGCTGGAGACCTATAAGCTTATTGTGATCAGCATTCTATCAACGAGGGAATTAAAGCTCGGGAAGGTGAATCAATTGGCCCCAAGTTAAAAAGGACAGGATTGGGCTTCAAACCCAGTGCTGTGACTCTAAAACCAGGGCGTTTCTCCTGTGTCCCATGGCCAACATTTCTTTCTTCTGGAAAGACAAACTCAAACTCCCTTTGTATTTTTGCACCTTGGCTTTTTCCATGCAATGCCATGAAGCGCATGTAATTCTTTCTTTTGTCTAAATCTCTTTTATTTCCTCACTAATTATTTCCCACTTTGGGTCATTGACAGTGTCCTTCTATTTCCCAGGCAACTGCTTCATTGTAAGGAGACGGTTATGATAGAATATGTGGGATGTGGCGAGTGAGAGGTGAAAGCTGGCTTGAGCAATATGAAAAGATCACCCTGTTTGCTCTAAACTTCTCCATATATTCCCATCCCGCCCCCATCTTTTCTGTTACATTCTGCTCTTTTCTTGATATCATACCATTCTCTGCCTCTTGTCTTGACTCTTTATATTAGCTTTTCCACGTTGGTAGGTTAGTAAGCAATACTTTTGCTTCGTTTTCCTCTACTTTACTACCTACTGTCAGCTAGGGTTATTGGAAGCCTTGACTACATGGCCTTCATGGAACTGGCTGAACCTTTCCCACTTTGGAAAATTGGAGAAGAGGGGGTGGGGAGGCAGGGGATTGACATGACAACACTTAAGTTCCTGCACATGTAGGAAGGGTCAGAATCTCAGCAGAAACAGGCCAAGAACTGTCTGCCAGATAGTTGAGTGAAAATGGCGTTTGACAAGTCTAATTTTTTCTATCACATGATAGTCTTTCAAATACCACAAGTCTATCCTACTCTCTCTGAGTCTTCTCTTTTCCAGGGAAAACACGTCCAGTTACTGTAAGTGTTCCTGTGATATATGACACAGATTCAAGACCAGTTAGGCAATAGTCAGTAAACATTTGTTAAGTGCCTACTACGTGCTAATGTCTCACCTTTATGATTTCTTTCTTCTTAGCACTGTCCAGCTCTTCAGTGTCTTTCTTAAACTGTGGTTTCCAAAAATGAATGCAGTATGCCAAATGAAGACTGGAAAAGGCATAGTACAGTATGATCATCACTTTCCCTGTTCCTGGAAGCTATGCCACTTAATACAGTCCAAGAATTCTTTTTTAGTTTCTACATCACACTGCTGACTGCTAACTTAAATTGGGTTTACAATGCACTAAAACCTCAGGTTCTTCTACCTGGTACCTGGTAGGCTTGGACATTACAATACATGTAAATACAAATTTGCCAAGCAAACATCATTTTGCAAAGTTTTCAAAGATTATTGTTTGCTTGTTACTTGTAAGGGCCTGTCCCAACCCAAAACAATTAGAAAAGAACAAAATTAAAATTAAACACCTAACAAATGAAAAATGAAAAAAAATTAAAGTAAAAATGAGCTTCCCCTCTCACATAGAAAACTGTGTCCCAAATGTGTTCCAAGAGTATGTGGGGCTCTCTCAAAAGGAATTGGGTACTTGGAATTGACTGCAAGTCCCCCCCACCCCCACTTACTCTCAGGTAAGACATCAAAGTTTGTTGGATGAAAAGTCTTCCCATGGGTCCTTCTGGTACATAGAGCAAACAAAATGTATTTTTTTAATTTTAAAATTTTTATTCTGAACTTAAACACCCCAAAAGAGCATTTTCATACATATAACCAAACGTTAAAAAACAATCATGTGTAAAACTGTGAATATTTTTCATATTCATATTTTAAGTATATAATAAATTCTACATGCTGCTTTCAAAAAAAAAAAAAAAGAAAATGGTGTTTGAAACAGAAATGTGGTCAAAAGTCAAGAATCATAACAGGGTCCAGAATGGGGCTAGTGAGGGATGAGATCTGGAGTTCAGTCCCTAATGGATCAGTAATAATTATAGCTAGCATTTTTGTATAGTGCTTTAAGGTTTGCAAATCTCTTTATTTGTTAACTTATTTAGTCCTCAAAACAATCCTGGGAGGTGCTATTATTAACTCCATTTTACAAGTGAAGCTAATAGCAGTTAAGTGACATGTCTTGGGTCACACAGTAAGAATCTTGACTCCAAGTTCTGAGCTCTATACATTGTACCATCTAGCAGCATTTACTAGAAAACTAAGAGGGTATCAAGCTAAGCAAAGAGTTAACTCCGTCTGCTAGTTGGTCTGTGGACACATGCTTGTTTTTATGCCCATCTCTCCTGTGGTTTGTATATATATATGTTTTGTTTTGTTTTAAAAAAAAACTGTCAGCTTGATAGAGAGGCGATGAACTAAATATTCAAATAAAACACAAAAACACAAAACACAAAATTTTGAACATGGCCAATATGGAAATTAGTTTTCCTTAATTATACATATTTGTTATGAGGATTTTGTTTTTCTTTTTATGGGGAGGAGGAGAAAGTGGGAGGGAAAAAAAGAAATGCTTATTGATTGAAAAAAATTAATTAAATTAATTTTTTAAAATATTAATTAAAATTAATTAAATTAATTAAAAACAAAATACCTGTCAGCTGTAGAATTTGCCATCCTCGTGATTCTGTGTAAAAATGGCCAGATCCATCTGAGATAAGGCAGAAAGGTTAAATTTTCAGCCAGGAACAACTAGGCAAGAGCCAGACACAGGAAGCACGCCCAAGGTTCACAAATACAGAACACCAATGGAGAATCATAGGATACAAGGGGCTAAATAAGCAAATATGATCAACAGTCAGGTAGGAGTCTAAGTAACTGGCATGTGGAAACTGAACAGTCTGTCTTGGCTAGAAGTCCCAGGCAAGCAGGACTGAAAGTCAGACTACGGAACTAGGTCTTCACATAGCCTAAGCTGGTTCCTTGTTGGATCTGTGATGTCATCGATGTGAGTTCTGCCTCCAATGCGAATCCTAAAGGTCACAAACCATCCATATCTTCTCATCTTGTGTGACTTTTACCCCTCTCTTCTAAATCCTCAGTGAAGAATCTACCCAACACATTAGAGACATACCTCTAGACCTATTTACATTTTGTGGGTGTCAGTGCATGCAGTCATTGGATTAAGTCTATCTGTCATCCTCATACAGGATTGTCCCACCTCCTTCAGGCATGCATTTCTGCAATAATTTTGGCAATAGGAGCTGAAATTTCCACATGCCTTTAACATCAGCAAAGTAATTAACTACATACATTATCTCATGTGATCCTCTCAACAACCCTGTGCAGTAGCCACTATTATTATTATTCCCATTTCACAGATGAGGAAACTGAAGCTGTAGTGAAGCAACTTTCCCAGGATCATACATCTTGGAAGGGTCTGAAGTGGGATCAGAATCCAAGTCTTCCTGACTCTTAGATTAAACACTTTATCCACTGTTCCATGATTCCTCACTGATAGAAGATAAAGCTTGTTTTGGCAAAAATAAATTAAGCCCTCAAATTTCATCTAGAGTTCACAAATGCACCTTAAATCCAATGGGATGAAAAAAATATTTTGGGAAAAAAAATGTTTTCCTGACTGAGTAAAGTTATATTGAAGACATAAGTTAAAATCCCATCTCTGCCTCCTACTACCTTGTATGACCTTGGATAAGTCACTTAACTTGCCTGGGCCTCATTTTCCTCACCTGTAAAAGTAAGGGGATGGACTACAGGTCCAGATCTGTGATTCCATGAGCCACTAACTGGAAGAGAAGGTTAGGGTTACAAAGGATTTCCAGAAGATTTTAGCCAAAGACCACCAGAATATTATTATATTCTCAGAATATGACTTTTGAGATCCTCATGTACCTGTATTGAGCAGGCAGAGAGATTCGTGTTATCAAAGAATTGATCAATTGAGCTCTCTAATCAATTTGATGAGATTCCAGAGAGGGCTGTATATCCCCTGTTACTTTGGGTGCTTGTATAGGATCTGAAGACCCACTCATTCTCTTCCTCTCTCCCTTCCCCCTTTCTGTGAAGATCTAGACATGGTCTTTTATAAAGTCATGCTACTGAACTGACTGGTTCACTACAAATTTGTGTTATTCAGTTTCAAGTGGATGCTCATTGCTGCACAGCAGTCCCTTTAGTCATCCTGGATTGACGTATCTCCACTACACAGTAACCATTCCAAATTTGTTTCTGTCTCCTCAAACCTTCTATGCCTTCTCCTCTACCTTCCGTCTCAGCACCAGACCTTGGCTCATTGACTGAAAAATAGAGGCCATCCACTATAAACTCCTGTTTTCTCTATATCTCTAAACCCTCTTTATCTTGCCTCATTCTTCCCATCTCCGATGAAGAAACAGACCTTCTTTTGGCCAAGGCTGATCCCTCTTCTTATGCTCTTGATGACATTTCCTCCAAAAATAGCCCCTTAGGTCAATGATGTCAAACTCAAATAGAAAAGAGGGCCACTAATCTGTATAGAAGAGTCCCTGGGACTGCACAATGACTTGGTTTAAAAATATCATATTATCTATGTTTTATTTATTTTGTTAAATATTTCCCAATTTCGTTTTAATCTGGTTCAGCTGCACTTCAGAGAGTTTTTGGCTGCATGCTGCGTATCTGACATTTCTGCCTTTGATCATTCCCCCTCTTTCTGTCATTTCAGTCTCTATCCAGTGACTCCTTACCAGCCACCTGCCAACATTCCCAGATCTCCCCCATCCTTAAAAATCCTTTACTTGTCCCTTCTGTTGTCTGAAGCTATCATCCTCTCTCTATTCTCCTAGTCATAGACAACTGCCTTAAAAGATTGTCTATATACACTGACTCCATTTCCTCACCTCCCACTCACTTCTCTTTTACCTCCGAGATTTAAACTCCCATTTACACTAGTTGTTTGCATGTTGCCTCTGTCATTAGAATGTAAGCTCCTTGAGGGCAGTGACAGACATATAATAAAAATTTATTAAGAGCTTATTGGTTGATTGACTTTATTCCCTAGGACTGTGTGTGTGTGTGTGTGTGTGTGTGTGTGTGTGTGTGTACACCCAGATTAGGAACTCCTGCTTTGGGATCAAATGTGAATTCCTCTGTTACTTTTTAAACCCTTCATAATTTGACCCCATGGAAGAGGTAGCTTTAACACCACTATTCTTAGTTCACGTTCAATGTTGGAATGAGATGAAGCACTCATTCATTAGTCACTGGACGGTTAACAAAAGGAGATTTAATTTTCCTTAATACAGCAAGGCTTGGCCACAAGGATAGGGTGGACAAGGCCCCCCTTCATCTCCATGTGGAAATTCATCTAGTCATCAGAGCAAGGATATGGTGAAGGACATGGTGATTTGCGTGATCTTCAGAAATCCACCAAATGGGAGAGGCACAGACTTCCCTTGGCTGGAATTTTTTATACGCTTATATAACCAGGCAAGCTGAGGCCAGTCAGGCCAATCAACTTTGTCTTCTTCTAAATAAAGCTTTCCCCATGTTGTGGGTCCCCCAAACCATACATGAGGGTCTCTGAAGGCCACACTTTGACTTAGAAAACCACATATTACCATTATCTGTTTTATTGTATTTTTGTTTGTTTTGTTAAATATTTCCCAATTACATTTAAATCTGTTTCCCACAGCAGGTATGTTAGGCATCTTTGTCTCAGATCACCAGTCTTACTTCCAGCCCAGCCCCCCAGCCATCATCTGAGGAATCAGCCTCTGTAGAGACACTACTGCCTGTGCAGGTACAGTAGTCCCCACCTCACAGCAGCCACAGCTACTAGAGATCTGGGAAAATAAATTTCTTGCCACCAAAGTCTTCCGCACTGTCAGCTAGTTCAACATCAAATATGGTTTTATGAAAATAACATTAAAGAGACATCTGCTTTTCCTTTTCATGCAACTTGCATCTGGAACCTTCTGAGTATGAGCCCTTGAGAGCAGGAATTGTCTCCCTTTTTATACTTCCAGCCCTCAATACAGTGGTTTGTATGCCATAAGTGCTTAGTAAATTTTATTCATTCAGTCACTCATTTGCTGCATCTATTCTGTGTATACTTATGGATAGGTATGTTACCTCCCCCATAGAATGTAAGATATTTGAGAGTGGAGACTGATAGATTTTTGTCTTTATATTCCTAGCAGCTAGCACTGTGCCTGGCACATAGGAAGTGCTTTTAAAAATTCTCGTTTGTTGATGGATTGATAAAATCCCTGGCTTCCTTCAAATGATCTTCTAAATGGATCCTTTCCTGACATCCCAGTTATTAGTACTCTCTTCATCTTGAAACTGCCTGTACTTTGTATGAAAAGCACCATGATGTACTGGGTAGAGAGCTAATCTTGAAGCCAAGAAGACCCTTCTTCCAGTCCCTCTTCTAGTACGTACTAGCTCTGTGACCCTGGGCAAATCCCCCAACTTCTTAGTGCTCTGGGCAACTCTCAAAGGCTAAGAGAAAATAACAATCGGAACTAATAGGAGTTTCCTATACCACTGAAATCATAAATCTAGTCCCTATCTTATACTTCTCACTTTTTTAAAATTTTGCCTGGACCTGTGATTTTATTGGTGTAGGGACCTCCTAGAGATGAAACTCCCTCTACCAAGGCAGATCACCAATTTTCCTGCAATTTATAGTATTGGGGAGCTACCTGGGGTCACTAAGAAATGAAGTGATTTGCCCAGGGTCACACAGCCCATATGTTCCTATATGTTTCAGAGATGGCATCAGAACCTAGGTCTTCCTGACCAAGAGGAGCTCTCTGTCCACTACCTTCTGCTGTCTCATCTATTGAATACATTTTATCTCTCCTCCTCCTGATAGCAGAAAGTAAATCCCTTGAGGGCAGCAACTGTTTTGTTTATGTCTTTTTGTCTCTTTATTTGGAATTATGTATCTTCCTTCCTATGTAGGGTGTGGACATGCCCCTTGAATTTACAAAGAGGGGAAGAGGGGTTATAAATGAATTGTATAAACTGGAATGTTGTGAGGTAAAATAAAAATGATGGTCCATGTCATTGGTGAAGCTGAAGGAATAACAGGAGAGCCTAACCTGGACTTTGTCACTACTATTGAGTGATTTTATTGGTCATGTCTGACACTTTGTTACCCCATTTTGGGGTTTTCTTGGCACAGATACTAGAGTGGTTTGCCATTTCCTTCTTCAGCTCAGTTTGCAGATGAGGAAGCAAAGGTTAACAGTTAAGTGACTTATCCAGGGTCACACATCTAGTAAGTGTCTAAGACTGGATTTGAACTCAGGAAGAGTTTTCCTGACTCCAGGCCTGACATTCTTTCCACCTAGCTGTCTCCACCATGCTTTATTCAGATAGTACAAGTCTGATGGGAAAGGAATTGCCTCTAGCGGTCCCAACCATGTCTCCCTTCCAGGGGAGTCCAAGCTAGTAGTGCCATTAGAGACTACCTTTTGAGGTCTCTGAGATTCACCAGAATATTGGAAGTTGTTGGTTTAGCAGTCCCAAGTATCTTTCCCTTCCAAGGAAGATCCAGAAAACAGAGTTCTCACCTCCAAAGACCTTGGCACTGTCAAATGGTTCAACATCAGGATTGGATATGGATATCAATGAAAATGACATTAAATAAAATGCATTATCACTGAATGTGAACACCTTGAAAGAAGGTACTGTCTTGCCTCTTTATTTGTATCTCTAGTGTTTAGTCCATTGTTTCAGGCTTAGTAGGTGTTTAATACATTTTTTTCCCATTCATTCAGGAGAGCTCAATCCCTTAGGATCATACTAAAAAGGGTGGATGCTTGTATCTGTCTCTAGAGTAAGAGGAGCTGACTGGAATGTTGAGAGGTTACATCCATGTCAACCTTGACCAAAGGTACTCTA